CGGAAAACGACAAACGTTACGATGTCCTGCTTGGCCGGAGGAAACGAAAAAAAAAACACAACTAAAAAAAGGTATGCAAGGCATGTGATCTTTTTATTAGGTGTGGGTGATGAGTTTCCTGTTCCGGTGGGAGAAGCCTATCTCTCAGATGCTGCCCTGGAAGGTTACTAGAGAAAAAAGGTAGTTTTCGGATTTGGTCTGACAAATTCTGCTGCAGGAAGTGCGTTGCAGTGCCAATCATTTCAACGGCAGCCCAAACGCGCCTCCCACCCGCAGTGTGATTGCCCACACTAGAATGTACCGAACCGCAATGACGTGCATTCCAGTGCGATTGCAAAAAATTGTGCATGCAGTTTTATTCTGAAGTAAACTTTGTAACTGCATTTGAGTATTTTATTTTAAAAGGGATGGTATTTATTTTAATGAAAATAATTAGCTGCAGCCCTAAAAGCATATGTAAGTGATCAAAACAACAACAAAAAACAGTCATTTTATTTTAGGAGGGGAAGGGAAGTACTGGGTGAAATGCAATAGTATCCTGAAGCTTAGCTTTAATACTTTATTCCACTATTCAGGCATCGGTTTTGCCAGTACAATATGAAAAACAGCACTTGAAGTCTCACCTTATATTTTTCACTGCTCAGGCACCCAACTCAGTCACACAGTATACAGTTGGGCAAAAAAGTATTTAGTCAGCCACTAATTGTGCAAGTTCTCCCACTTAAAAAGATGAGGCCTGTAATTGGCATCATAGGTAGACCTCAACTATGAGAGACAAAATGAGAAAACAAATCCAGACAAATCACATTGACTGATTTGGAACAAATTTATTTGCAAATTATGGTGGAAAATAAGTATTTGGTCAATATCAAAAGGTCATCAATACTTTGTAATATATCCTTTGTTGGCAATGACCAGGGCTTGAAAAATTTGAGTGTCTCAGTCAGTCAAAAATGTCACCAGTCAGCATGACCGGACTATAGCCTTGCAATTTGTTTAAAAAGTTTGGGGACAGATAGAGCTTTCTTTTGGAGGTATATAATCACCACAGAACTATGAGGTGAGTGAAAAGCCTAAGCGTTCGAAATATGCGTGTATGACGCGCGTTTTGTGGTGCATTTTTTAACCACGATTTGCAGCCACAAAACACACGTCAAACGTGCGTTTACGAGGGCTATCCGGCTGTATCCTAATGAATACGTGCGGAAATACGCCCCAAAGAAGCTCCTGTACTTTGGGCATAGGGCGTTTTTCAGCACGGTCCGACACGCTGAAATACGCCACGCTGAAATATGCCCAAGTGAGAACCATGCCCATAGGAAATAATGGGATTTCACTTGCAGGGCGTTTTACAGCGCGGCGATCAGCGTTGTAAAACGCCCAGGTGTGAACCCGGCCTTAATGGCTCTAAAATTATTGCTCTCACTCAGTTTGCGGCGATATGCAACATGTGCGGCACGTAGGCGCACATATGCGTGTGTATGTGGGGGGGCGCGGACTTAAAAAAAATGTTTAAAAAATAAATGTTTTGCTTCTTTATTTTTTTTATCAATCTTTCATCTTTGTATTACTTTTTTTTTTACATACAACTTTATTGCCATTACATGGGGGGCCAAGAAGCCCCCCATGGGATAGCCAATTTACATGACAGGTCCTCTTTATGGAGACATCAGGGGTCTCCAAGACCCCTGTCACCTAGGGACCTCCAGAGAAGCTGATTAAGCAGAGATCGGCTTCATCAGCTTCTCTAGCTGGAGAGTGACACTGAATGCAGGAAGTGATGTAATATACATCACTTCCTGCATTCAGGGACTGAGGAGATCAAAGGGAGTTAGTGTACTGAACTCCCTTTGATCTCCTGTCACAGAGCCGTGCCGGTCCCGGCCACATCGAGCACAGCAGATCTCGGGACCGGCAACGGCAGTGACAGCTTCTGATACAAGCGATCAAGCGTCTCTCGAGGCGCTCGATCGCTTGACTGTAAAGCTCCCGGCCGGCCGTGTAATTACAACGGCCAGCAAGCTGCTTGTCGGGCTCCACTGTCTGCTCGTCACAGACGAGTGGATTTTTCGAGCCCTGGCAATGACAGAGGTCAAACGTGTCCTGCACGTCTTCACAAGGTTGGCACACACTGTTGCTGGTATGTTGGCCCATCCCCAATGCAGATCTCTAGAGCAGTGATGTTTTGGGGCTGTCGCTAGGCAACATGGACTTACAACTCCCTCCAAAGGTTTTCTATGGGGTTGAGATCTGGAGACTGGCTAGGCCACTCCAGGACCTTGAAATGCTTCTTACGAAGCCACTCCGTTGCCCGGACGGTATGTTTGTGATCGTTGTCATGTTGAAAGACCCAGCCACATTTCATCTTCAATGCCCTTGCTGATGGAAGGAGTTTTGCACTCAAAATCTCACGATACATGGCACCATTCATTCTTTCCGGTACACGGATCAGTCGTCCTGGTCCCTTTGCAGAGAAACGGCCCCAAAGCATGATGTTGCCACCCCCATGCTTCACAGTAGGTATGGTGTTCTTTGGTATGGCATTCTCTCTCCTCCAAACACGACGAGTTGTGTTTCTACCAAATAGTCCTATTTTGGTTTCATCTGACCATATGACATTCACCCAATCCTCTTCTGGATCATCCAAATGCTCTCTAGCAAACTTCAGACAGGCCCAGACATGTACTGGCTTAAGCAGGAGGGACACGTCTGGCACTGCAGGATCTGAGTCCCTGGCGGCGTAGTGTGTTAATGATGGTAGCCTTTGTTACGTTGGTCCCAGCTCTCTGCAGGTCATTCACTAGGTCCCCCGTGTGGTCCTGGGATTTTTGCTCACCGTTCTTGTGATCATTTTGACCCCATAGGGTGAGATCTTGTAAATAAGTATTTGGTCACCTACAAACAAGCAAGAGTTCTGGCTCTCACAGACCAACGGTTGGCTCCGGCCACTTGCATGCAGAGACAAGATCAGCGTCCCCTGGTTAGCAGCTAACCACGGACGCTGATGTGTCATTACACTGAGAACCCGGCGGAGCCACTGTGATATCACGGCGGCTCCGCCAGGTTCTCAGTGTGTAATGACAGTTCAGCATCTCCTGGTTA